TGCAGAGGGCCCGCAGATTGCCACTCTGCTGGACCACGTTCTGGAATACTGGTAATGATACATTTCTGTACCAAACCCAGAGGTGGGAAGTTCAGGTTCAGAAAGTACAAATCCTGACCAAGATTTTGTTTTAACCAACCCGCTCAACATAAAGAGTCACAGTCACACAGTACTCAACTGGATGGTTGGAACAAAATCTAAGTCATTGGAGGGGGGGGGGTGTAGATTGTGCCAAAAGGAGGTTCACAGTTTGTTCTCCTGTTGCAATGAGCTATTCTTGTCAGAGAAAATCACCACCAGAGAGGGAGAAAAACCTGGGCCAACTTGACCCAAACTTGTCATTGCCCCCCTGCCCCAGTTCCAGGATTTGTGGCTCCTATCGCATTAAAGGTCCCAACAGCTTATCAGAATGGAGGCCTACTGTGGTCCCAGTGAGCCTGCTTTTGCAATGTTTTCTGTGCGGTTGCTTTCTCTGTAGATACACTGACAATGACGTACACACCATACCGCACAGGACCTTTCCATGAGAATGTGCCATTTCTCATTTGTTTTGTGTACTAGGAAAGATATGTCATGGTTTCCCTCAAGTGGTTACATGTGTTTGTCACGCTCTTGTGTGATATGGATCATAGTGTGTTTTCTTCCACTGGACCAGCACCGTTTCACCTACCCACACTTTTATTTTAACAGTAAAATTTTTCATCTGATTATTCACACACAGTGGAAGTGTCAGTGTTGATACATCCCCTCTCAAACTGCATTGTCCTTTTAGTATAATCCCCAATCCGTCCTCCCTTCGCTCATGCTTCCCGCTTTCCGCAGCAAACAGCCCGATTCAGTCCGAGCTCCGCTCATCCCTCTGCCGATGCCTAAGAAACTCTATTTCTACATCGACCCGGAGATCAAGCGAGACATCGAGCAGGCCAAGCAGAATCTGGACATGTGAGTCGTACAGTCGCCCAGTATGGATGTTCCTCAGCTGGTTTTTCTCGTACCCTTTTGCAAGCATGGGTCTTCAGTCTTCGGGTAAATAGCGCCTCTGGTCCTGTGCTTTCCAATTTGTCCTTCAGTCATAGGTCTACTTCCTGATATTTTTTACGCCTAGGTAGCTGTGTAGCTTACACTAGAGCTTGACGCCTGTAGTTACATTACTGGGAAGGTGCAGGTCAGGTTACAGTGTAGGGTAGATGGCTACCTACAGCGAGATACAGAGATATAAATCAGCCTTTAGTCATTACATTAAAAACTGTCAAGCAGGTGGAGCCCCCCCCCCCCCCCCCCCCATATTACACTGTTGGCAGCTGACATGCATGCAGCGATAAGTCAGAGGAAGTAAACAAACCTCGTTATCTGCCGTGCGTGTCTCTGACCTTGACAATAGCACGCTGTGATACCATAAATCCTTTCCTGGCTTGACAGCTCTCTCTCTCTTTTTTCCAGCCCATATGTGGCGTTTATATTCTCCAGTCTCGACAAACTTCAGTCTGTTTTTAGAGCATACTGTCCTCAGATGTAAATATGCTTTTTAATAAATGTCATAAAAATAATATGCATTTTTTTTCCCCACCTGTCAGTCTGATCAACGACCTGGACATAAGCTGCTTCATTTTCCGGAGGTTTGGCAAAGATTTCCCCAAGCAGCTGGGACTGAGCCCCAATGCCTTCATACAGGTGGCCCTGCAGCTGGCCTACTACAGGTGACACACAAACCCCAAAAATACATAGATATGCAGATTTTAAAAAGGAGGAACACGGTTTAATTTTCCTTCAGGGGCCTGTTTCACAAAGCAGGATTTCTTGTCTAGCCGGATGACTTAAAGTAGTCTGGGCTAAATAGAAATTATTTTCATCAACTTACATTTGACCAAGATTACCTTTAAATCCAAATTAAATATTTAGGTGTGAGGAGTTCCTTTTATTTTTAAGTTATTTCCCCCAACAATTGACTTGTATGGTAATAACTAGGATTCATTTGGGACATAATGTAGATTACATGCATCACATTATTATACTGATTGATGTATGTGACAGTTCCATTGTGGACGAAAAACTGTATTGCAGTAATGCATGCCGTATGGAAATAACTCCCTCCAGTAGCCCAAACCTCCATCTCATCTTCCCTCTCTCCAGGGTGCACAGTGAAATTTGTGCATCCTGTGACAGCGCCTCCCTCAGGATGTTCCGAGGGGGCCGCACTGACATCATCCGCTCGCCTACGAGCCAGGCGCTCCAGTTTGTGTGCGCTTTCGACGATCCCTCTGTCTCAGTAAGGATCAACCCCCCCACCCGACGTCCTGTGATGTTCCCGTGACTCTGCCTCATGGGCTTCCTCAGTGTGACGTTGCTGCTAAAATCGGCATCCGTACTGTCCTAAAACACAGCTTCCCCCAGGGAAGATGTGGATGTGAGGATAAGGAGGAAAATAGTGTGGCTGATGAGAACTTAAGTCGATTAGTCAGTCGAATACGTCTGTCACTGGTGCAATTTCTTTGGTGTGTTTCAGAGAGAGGCGAAGGTGGATTTGCTGAGAGAGGCTGTGGCTGCTTACGCAGCCCTCACTGAGCAGGTATTCATGAGAAACTAAAGTTCATAGTGGCAACACTGGGTATTTCTGGTTAGGCAGACTTGGGACATGCGGTAGACATTAATGATAGCTAGGGCTGTCAATCGATTGAAAAATGTACTAATCGGTTGCACATTTTGCAGTGAATTAATCGTGATTAACTGCGATTAAGAACTTGTTTTTCATAAGATGAAAGCTTGTTAATGCATATTTAAATGTGAAATCAGTCATCAAAATTGTGTAGAATAATCACAAAGGATGCATATTTCCAATATAACAATGTAGTATGTCATCAGTGACAACAGTACAAAATAGCAATCATTTATATGATTGCCCCTTAATGCACTGCGCGATAATGCATTAATCACAGTAATTGCATTGTACTTGTACATGTGTAATGACAATAAAGTTGAATCTAATCTAACTTAATGTGTTAATGCAGTAATTGGTGCTATTAAGTTTGACAGCCCTAATGAAAGCATATGCTCAGTTTTTGTGGTTATGACCTTATGATTTTTTAATATATAAAGCGATGTATTTTGGGCTTTTAATGTCTGTTTTGATCCTTCTAAATCTGCATTTCTGATCAGGCACTACAAGGGCAGGCCATCGACCGTCACCTGCTGGGACTCAAACTGCAGGCCATAGAGGAGGGCCTGAGTGTGCCCAGGATTTTCATGGACACAGCCTATGGACTGGCTACCCACTGGAAACTGAGAACTGGTCAGGTAACAGCTGTGCCACTCCCGGCGTGTCATTCAGATGCTTTGCATATAGAGACACCTATAGTGTACTATACAGAAAAGTGTCCAGAAAACTTGCTTATAAAACACTGGCAGTGCGTCTTTATCGGATTCCATTACAGAAATTCGGGTAATGGCGGGTTAATGGTTAGGGAAGCGCACTTGGGGATTCGAACCCACAACCTTTCAAATCACAACCCACAAGTCAGCTCCGAGGTACCCTGACCAAGGTACCACGGGTGCTGGATTAGCTGCCCCCTGCTGTGTCAGAATGTAATATGGGTTAAATGCACAGGATACATTTCGTTGTTGTCCATTCTGTGCTGGGGTGTGTGAAATATGACAATTGCTTTAAAAATTGTTTCAACAGAAATGACCCAGATCCTTGTTACCCCTAGGTTCCGTCAAACACGGACAGCGTGATGTGCTTTGGACCTCTTGTTCCAGACGGTTATGCTGTGTGCTACAACCCGCAGTCAGACCATGTCCATTTTTCTGTCACTGCATTCAACTGCTGCGAGGAGACGAACGCTGAAAAACTCGCTGTCACTTTGGAGAGCGCCCTCTGCCACCTTCAAGAGTTACTGCATCCCGCTGTGTAGTCCTGGAAGACTGCCATACCAAAATCCATAAAATTCATATGCACAATGTTCTTACATGGAAAAAATAGCTGGTACATGTGTGATCTTTGTAATGTTCTAACATTTGGGTGTTACTTTAGGATTTAAAGTATGCTTTCTGCATTAAGTAAAATACATTAAGTGTTTCTTTAATGCAAGAAGTGCTTGTGGATTGAAGAGAAAAGCAACACGGAGTCAATAGTCACTGACAATATTTAGTGCAACTTGTTAAGGTAGTTCCAAGATTTTGTTTTCTGGAGTAAAATAAGTGTGTTTCTCACATTTTTTTAAATGCACAATGACATTTTCCCAGTTCTATAACCAGTTCTAATCTAAGTCTTAGTCTAATAGCATGACATGGTACCATACCGGTATAACTGAAATTTTAAGCAGCTGCCACCACAAACGTATATGCCGGAGCCACTGCGATGTGCCGTCTGCGGAAAAGCAGATTAAAGTTAAGCAAGTGGTGTTTTGTATTACTGTTTTCAAGCAGTTGACATCAAACACTAAGTAGCATATAAAGGCTAGTTTGCTTCAAACAAACTCGTCAGCCTACATTTTAAGTATTATAAAATAATAATGCAGGCAAAATTGGAAGAGTAGGTAGAAACAGTATCGCCACATCTCCGAAGGAAATGCAAGTCAAATTTGTAGGTACACTGTTACTTTAGGGGCAAAACATAAAAACAAAACTATACCCGATGAATTTTTCCATTTGTACCCTGTATATATTTCCGTTACTGTACGTTTTGGCTGTCGGCTTGGGTATGCCAGTTAGGCAGTATAATAGAAATATACTTCGCTTAATTAAACAAGCCGGATCGGTCCCTGTCCTACATTTTCTTCGTACAACAGCCTGACCGCTAAAGTGTGTATTCTGTGCTATGCAAACGTACAATAATACATCTTCTAAGTAATAAATTTGTATAAACCTATTATTTTCTCGTGACTGTATTGACGAGACTGGTGGCCCGTTAGGTCAATATAATAATACATTTTCTTTACAATAATACAAAATCTCATGTCACCTCCAAGGCAGAGAGCAGCAATTAAGACAGGAAATGACGTCATACTAAGTTTTTTCCCCCAGTCACCGGAACAAACAGTATTGAAAATGACACAATATATGTGGTCATGTAAAGTGGACAGTTTGGGTCGACGGAATGTAAAGTTAATCTACAAGGAGTCCCATGTGCGGCGATAATTTCAGGCTTGGAGGAAAGCGCACTACGCATCTTGGATTTATTCGCCATATACAAGCCTGAAGTGTACTTATTTGTAGAGTGCGCAGCGATTGTTATTATTGATCACAAATGGTTAAATCTTTGCAGTAGTAATTCTCTACATGTGTGGCGGCTGACTAAGCGAGCCATGATGCCGGGATCGTGTTCAAGCAGCGGCGTTGCTGCGGCCGCCAGGATGCTCTTGCCGCTTGTCGGCGCCTGCATGGCGGTGGCGGTGCTCGGGTACAAGCCGGTGATCGTCGTCCACGGGCTTTTCGACAGCTCCAGCGACTTTGAAAACCTGCTGCGATTCATCAACCTTGTAAGTCGCAATATGGGAACCTTGTAAGTCGTACTGGAATTTTACTTAACAACGACAATGGAGTAAAATTTAGCTGTGATGGAAACTAGATTTTACAACTTTGCCCTCCTACTGTGCGTCTAAATGTGTCGCATTCAAAAGCAGGGCTTTCAAATGAATGTAGCAAACATTTTCCTAAACACCGGTTTTATAGGTATTTTCTAATCAAGCTGGCTACATGTATACGTTAAAAAAATGTATCAAAATCGAAGTGGTATGACTGTTATCTGTATTTTTAGTGTTTATACGGCAAATTACCGCCGCTGCAATAGTGGGTCATGTGCTTTTGTTTACTCGACTCCGATAACGCGCTCAGGTTTAACGGAGACTGCCAAATGGCTGTTTATTCAAGGTTTTGACAGGGGTGTATCATAAGAACCGATTGCAAGATTTGTTAGATTAAATGTAGAATTGCAAGATATATTTCATCCCACATTGGGCGCTATTGAAAGTGATGCCTTTAAGATCTAGAATTTCCTCCCGGTATCATAGTCGGTCTTTATATAGTTACACTACCAAAGGCTTTCCATGGTGCTATTTAAGTAATCTCCCCTTGATCTTAGGTCTTATAACCTAATTTACGCAGTTTAATGCGCAAGGATTAAAGCCCTGGCACTTTTTCGGCATTAAATTGTAATGTAAGCCGCACTATAATGATCATTACGTGCGGGAGGTTGGGGTCCGCTTCGAACCTCGTCGAAGCGAAAAACACATTTCCAATAACTGCGATCGTTAAATTAAAGTTTTATTTGTCGCATACACAGTTACACGCAGTACAATGTCTAGTGAAGTACATGATTGCGTAACTGTTAAGACTGTGCTTGCAGGTGTTATGCCGAAAAAGGCATCCCTGCCTTAGAATGCATGCCGGTGTTCCGACGAGTTGAACTTTTAAGGGTTTTTTGGGGGACAGGGTTTTTTTAGGGGTTGGGATTAGGGTTTTAGGGGGGTTTTGGGGGTTAGGGTTTTAGAGGTTTTTGGGGGTTTTTGGGGGTTAGGGTTAGAATTTTACGGGTTTTTGGGGGCTATTGATTAGCACTACGGTAGCCTTACTCGACAAAGTAGCTCAACTCGTTTCAGATCATTTAGAGACAGGCATGCATTCTACGGCAGGGATGCCTTTTTCGGCATAACACCTGCTCATGAGTATAAAGAGGAAACATTGAACGTAGATTATTAATAATCATAAGTACCTAGTGATAATCATTTCTGGATGAAGTTTCCGTTCAAAGTTAGTCCGAGATATTTATTGAAATTAAAACCACAAGTTCTCTAAAAGCCCTCTTTTAATAGAGTTTAGTTAAAAAAAATGAACTGGGTGCATCGTGGCCACATTCATCGAATAGTTAAAGGGTACTAAATACAATATAATTTGGATTTCCCGATTTGTTAAACTTAGCATCCAGTAGCATAATAGATAAGGAGCAAGTCTTGTGACTAGAAGGCCAAGAAGCCTACTTTTCTCGTTAGGCTACTTAAGCGTCTGTAATATAGAAAGGTGGTTCCTGGAAAGCAAATTTCGTTGAGCGTGACATATTGGCATACTTCTACTGCGTCTGAAGTGGAAAATGGTGTCATGTGTCATATCAGTCGTTGGTAGTTGTGGGGACCTTTATGGCTCAAGGCTGAGATTGGAAGACTGTGCTTAAACACAGTCGTGACTGAAGTATCAGCAGTAGCTGTTCTTGAAAACTTATTTCTTAAGGGTGTGTGATGAGGTGTAATCGGCTTGCGATGTTCTTCTCCAAATATGCAAACGAGGTTATTCAGATATGAGTAAAAACCTTTCTGACTGCAGGCTCGTTAATTTCTTTTTTTTTTTTTTTTTTTTTTTTTCTCGTTAATTTCTGACTGCAGGCTCGTGGTTCTAATGTTTAAGCATCATCAATTCTGACTGATGTCTGCCTTTCCATGTGCGCTCAGGCCAGTGACAGGGATTCATGATTGGTTACGTTTCCTTTTCTTAAGTGCACATCTCAAAATAAATAGGACAAGTGCTCTGAGAGTCTGTGCCAAGGTTAGGATGAGGAGGAGGAAATGGCGGGCGAAATCTGAATTCCTTTGTGTGTCACGGAGAAGTCCAGAGTGCTCTGGTTAATTTCTGTGTGATTTTTTGGCCTGTGGCTAATGACCAAATTTGCAAATGCAGTGTTGACGTCTATCGCCTTTAAGGAAGTTTTTGTCTTATTCTTCCCTAAAAAAAAAAAACGAAGACCATGTGCAAATGACAGGTAACCTTTGATAAACTACTATGGTCACTTCAAACACTCCTAACGGTTTTTAGTAATATTCACTTTATTGCGGCATCATCAAGTATTTATAGGAGAGATGGATGCAGAGATACAGCTTCAGGCAGCACTTAGTTATTGTGGGCGTGGTTTTTAAATAGTTGTTGTGTAAGTGGCTACTCCTATGCATAGTGCCACACTATTAACCATGGTTGAAGTATTTCGGCCTCTGTTCTGAGTACTGCATTGACCATACGGCTGCTCCCAGTCTCACCCAGGTACCAATGTGTCCGTGATCGACCTGTTTGACCGGAGCGCCAGCCTGCAGCCTCTGTGGAAGCAGGTAGAAGGCTTCAGACAGGCCATCTACCCCATCATGCAGAACGCTGCTGATGGAGTCCACTTCATCTGCTACTCCCAAGGTCTCCGCGGCTCCGCTTTTTCCCGTCTTTGCAAAGTATTTAAAATGCAAAGTTGTAATGGAGGCATTTTTTAAATGGTTCTACATCAATAATGAATGCTAAGGTGTGACGGATCAGTCATATGATGTGCTCTAGTATGTTATTCATCAGGTGACTGGAATTTGAGGCTTCTATTCTGTATATTCAGTGTGATTCAGTGCAGTCCCTGAAATGAACCCTGTATTTGAGAGCTATTCATTTTTTATGATGATAATAAGGATTTAACAAAGATTTTCTTTTTTTTTGTTTTTTTTTAAATAAATAAAATAAAATCTTAGGTGGACTGGTGTGCAGAGGGATTCTGTCCACGCTACCGGACCACAACGTTCACTCATTCATCTCCCTCTCTGCTCCACAGGCCGGACAATATGGAGGTCAGTGTTCCTTTGGCCATAATTTCAAACAGCATATCGTGAATGATGATCCTCTGTCTTCAGTCTCTGCTCCATCACTGACCTGCTGGTTATAATTATAGGCAACTATATTCCTTGTCTTAATTACAAAATGCCATCGCTTCTACTGAATTTCGGTAAATCTACAACATTAAAGTCAGAGTTCTAGCATTCAAACCTAAGAGCAAGAAATTTCAGGCTGAAAATATACCTGCTGTCTGCTCTTTTTCTCTCTATAATAAGGTTCCTTACTGGTTAGGCTAGTTTGTGTTTGTGTGTCAGTCGCACGGACCAATCTAAAAAGCAAAGGTGATCACGTATGTTCTGTTGTTGGCGCAAGATTGCAGAATAGCTTGCCACCCTGTGTCCAAAAATTCTGGGATGGTGTGTAAAATGTAAATGAACCACAATGCAATAATTTGTAAATCAAATAAACCCGTATTTAATCATAAATGGAACAAAGACAACATATCAGATGTTGAACAATGAGAAATGTTATTGTCTTATGAGAAATATATGCTCAATTTGAATTGATGGCAACAACACGTTTCAAAAATGTTGGGACGGGGCAACAATAAAATTGTGTAATTCTAAAATAAAACACCTGGTTGAATATCTTACAACTAATTAGGTTAATTGGAAACAGGTCAGTAAGATATAAAGGGGCTGTAAGGGTATGAAATGAGCCTCCCAGAGAGGCGGAGTCTCTGAGCAGTGAACATGAGGAGAGGTTCCCCACCTTGGGAAAGACTGTGTGGGCAAATAGTGCCATAATTTAAGAATAATTTCAGTCAAAGTGATATTGCAATGAATTGGGAATTTCATCATCTACGGTATGTAATATCATTAAAAGACTCAGGGAATTCAGAGAAATCTGTAAGCCTGGGACAGGGCTGAACACTGTGATCTTCAGGTCCTCAGGTGGCACTGCATTAAAAACAGACATGATTGTATAGTGGAAATCACTGCATGGGCTCAGGGGCACTTCCAAAGGCCACTGTGTGTGCACAGTTTGTTGCTGCATCCACAAATAATACAAAGACTCTGTCATACCGACTTCTCTGGGCCTGAGCTCATTTAAGATGGAAAACTGTCCTGTGGTCTGAGGAATCAAAATTTCAGATTCTTTTTGGGAATCATGCTCGCTGTGTTGTCCTGGCTAAAGAGGAGAGGGACCATCCAGCTTGTTATCAGCAGACAGTTCAAAAGCCAGAATCCGTGATGGTACGGGAGGGGGTGCATTACTGCCCATGGCTTGGGTAGCCTGCACATCTGGGAAGGCACCATTAATGCTGAACGATATGTACTGGTTTTGGAGCAACAAATGCTGCCATCCAGCCAACATCTTATTCAGAGGAGGCCTTGTGTATTTCAGCAAGACAAAACCAAACTACATTCTGCGTGTAATACAATAGCATGGCTCCGTAGTAGAAGAGTCCGGATGCTAGACTGGCCTGCCTGCAGTCCAGACCTGTCATGCATTGAAAACATTTCACACATGAAACAAAAAGTACGCCAAAGGAGACCCCGAACTGCTGAGCAGCTGAAATCCTGTATCAGGCAAGAATGGAACAATATTTCACTTTCAAAATGCCAGTAACTGGCCTCCTCAGCCCCCGAACGTTTACAGAGTGTCGCTAAAAGAAGAGGTGATGCAGCACAGTGGAAAACAAGCCCTGACCCAACCTTTTTTTGAAGTGTTGCTGACATCAATTTCATATTGAGTTCATATTTGTCATAAAGCAATTAAATTTCTCAACTTTTTTGGAAACAGGGTTTTACGTTAAAGCTTTATACTCCTTAGTGTTTGGGTCTGTTTTTTGTTTTTTAATGTTTTCGTAGTTTTAGCTGTTTTTAGTTTCTGTCGTTGTTGATCTGTCTTCATTACTGTCTAAATTTTTAATTTAAATTTGCCCTATTATGCATTATGACTCTTCAATCATACCTTAAACTCTCTTTGTTAAATAGCAGTTGAGGCAGTTGTACGTTTTAGTACGTTTTGCTGGTTTTAAATCACTTCTTAGTACAGCAATTTGGATTAACAATTGTTATTGTTTAATGCGCATTATAAGTAAACTTGACATGACTAAACCTCTATTGGTTGCTCTTCTAGACACGGATTACTTGAAGTACCTCTTCCCACAGTTTGTGAAATCCAACCTGTATCACCTGTGTTATACATCAGTGGGACAACGAGTTTCTATCTGCAACTACTGGAATGGTAAATCTTCAGAAAAGGAGGCAGCTTCCTTTTAAAAATGAGAATGATTGATTGTAACTGTTCTGTATGGTGTGTGTATATATAGACATTTTGTGTCTGTTTTTCTCATAGACCCGCATCACAAAGACATGTATATCAACAGTAGCGATTACCTGGCTGTTCTAAACAGTGAGAGACCAAACCCCAACACAACAGGTTTTTATTTATCAATCTATTTACTATACTCATCTTATGAGGTAGACTGCTCCATTTGAAGTCTTTTTCTTGTACATTGTTCTTTTTATTTGACAGTCACGATGTATTTATTTAATGTTGTTAATAAATATTGGAGTTATTGCACTCTACATTTAAATCAAATTAAGCAATCAAAATCAATTCTTCCTGAGTATATTGTAGTGGGCATTGAATCAGAGTGTAGTAACCTTTGATGTTTTGGTACTGGCATCTGATTGGTCAGGGTAATTCTTCAATGTCCTTTATCTCAGTGTGGAAGAACAACTTCCTGCGCATTAAGAAGCTGATACTGATCGGGGGCCCGGACGATGGAGTCATCACACCCTGGCAGTCCAGGTGGGCTGTTTTGGCTGTTTCCTGTACTCATTACATGCTTTTGCTTTGGCCTTAAAAAGGTTAGTTGTGTCTGCCCAACTTATTTCATAGTGCAGGTTTAAAATAATCTCTATCTAGCCTTTTGACCTGCTGAGCAATAAAGATCATTCAGTTGAAATTCATTTAATGGATGGATGGATGGATGGACGGGTAGATAAAAAATACTTTATTGATGAATATTCAATTGAAAGTGAAGAATTACAGATTGTGTACAGATTTCAATGCTGCCTCCTCTGTCTCTCACAGTTTGTTTGAATTTTACGACGACAATGAAACGGTTGTTGACATGAAGCACCAGGATGTAAGTTCTGTTTGTTTTTGAAAGCTTCATTGTCATTGATATTGGAGTACTGTGTTCATGTTCGTTCTCTCGCTTTCACTCTCTCGCTCGCTCTCTCTCTCTTACTCTCTCTTGCTTGCTCTCTCTCTCTCTCTTTCAGGTGTATTTAAGGGACTCGTTCGGGCTGAAGACGTTGGACGCTCGAGGCGACTTGGTCACTTGTGTGGTCCCTGATGTCCTGCACACCAAGTGGCACTCAAACTACACTGTGTACAGCAGGTGTATAGATAAATGGCTCGCATAGAGCCTTGCGTGTTTGATCCGTATCCTCACATGACCATACATATGAACAGAAGCATACAAACAAACACATACTGCCCAGTCGCACCACTTTATTCATTTGATCATTTTTGCACTCTTTCAATGCCCTTTATGATTTAAATCTTAAAGAAATGTCCCAAGTGAGACCCTAATAATTTTCAATCCATGCCAATAGGATGAGATGGTCTCATGAAGGTTTTTTTGGTCCCTGTCATATAAAAAAAAAAGCCTTAATGTCCTGCTTTGCATTTTCACAGTTTTTTGACATTTCAAAACCAAAGTGCTATGACACACTGCCTCCAGTGAAGGTGCTAAGGGTGGGGGGGTTTGGGAATATGGGGGGGGGGGTGGCCCAGAGGTCCCCCGGAGGGGGAACCGTGAGACAGTCTTGCATTTTGCATCTTTCCCATCGACGTGCAGCATCTGTAAAATACCTCCCTTGACGTTCATTAGCAATCTCAGGCAAACGGTCGTATATTTCAGTGGGTTTGTGTAAAAGGAGCGGTTTTCCAGAAGCATTATTTTAGTTGTAGTTGTATTGTTATTGGTGATACTGTGTAAAATTTCATTTTGAAGGGTGATGCAGATCCTTGTATTAAACAGAGCGTCAGTTTTAAGAAAATAACTTGAATAAGTTTGGCAACTGTTGCACATAGATTTGATAAATGTTCTGAACTTTACTGAACTGTAGTTTGATATAAAGGATAATTGGATAGTATTTTTGTATCACTATTACTGTCTTCTCCAGTATTATAGAAGTATTTTAAAAAAAGGACTATTTCCAGGTTTTTTCACTTTGAGAAGGGATTTTTGACAACAGATTTTCAGCAAAAAAAGTTCTGGGTCTATAGGAACTGAGAACAAATGTATCATGTACTTTTTCTTGTGACAACTGGTTACTTATTTTCTGAGGGAAATGACAAACTTTCTTCCCTCAACTCTGTTGGACTCGGTCTTAATTTGTTCTGAAATTAAGTTGAAAGAAGACTTCACTTACCAATGTGCTTTACAGTTTTTACTCCGAAGTAAACCTTTGATTGTACATGTGATTCAATATGTTATGGGAATGTTAACTTTGTCTAATATAAAGCCAATAAAATGGTAATATCATGTCTGTGCAGGACTACGCCTGGCTGTTTATATACAAGCATCTATTACACTTTGTGTAAAGGGCAACTAACAATTCCTCTCATTTTTACATCTGGTCTTTCTAAATTTGTAAACACAAATTACAGTGGTAACAACGTTTTAAACACAAGGCATTTGGATTACATGTTTCAGTATCAGCTCTTGTACAGGAGGGATGTTTAGGTTCATCAAGATGCTTTTTATCAGATTTTATACATCCATCATGCAAATCATCCTTGTATCAACCATTACAGTCTGGTATATTAGCACAGACAGTGCAAAAGTTCCAAGGACCGACTCCATCCGTCTCCAGCTCGCCACCGAGGGTTCCAACGTACTTGTAGCTTCTGCTTCCCTCCAGTAGAAAAGATCCCATTTCAAGAATGGCTTCTTTCAGTCACTATCAAGAAATCGAATCCTGAAGTTGTTACAGCCCCTCCATGTCTATCTTTGAAAAACGGTCATAACTTTGCTGAAGAATGAAGGATTGCCCAAACCTGATATAATGACATGATTTTGAAATTTGCTGTGATGGACATGTTGGTTGAGATTGCCATGGATTTGCCTTGAAAGTCAGATCTACACATATAGAACTTGTGTCCTCTCTGCATCTCTGCGTAGTGGCTGGATCTGAATATTCCAGATTTTGACCAATGACTGTACAAGTAGGGCTGCCACATCAGTCCTGTAAAATTTCTGGATACCCAGTTGTTGATCAAAAATCCTGCATATAGTGGCACCATTCCAAAGGTTTGTTTTGGTCTGTTTGATAGGAAAAATATAATCCTGCATCACAGTGTCATCTCCAGTGTGTTGGAAGCTTTGATAATTGACCATTTACTCTATGATGTTAAAGCTAATTCTCTTAATTGTGACCCCATATGTTACCCATTTAGTTTTTACATAAAATAATACTTTCAAAATGTATTGTAAGAAGTAGTCTGTACTTGTATACTTAAGCCACCCAAGTTAAAAAAAATAAATACAAAAATTTAGTCTGCAGTAATATTTTGTGTGTGGACAGCTTAAAAAGAAGTTGGTACCAAGAGTTTTTATTAAGGTTAAATAAAATATGCATTAAATAAACATTTCTTGAAATGTCTTTGACTTCAGTGCACGCCTGAAGCTCCTGTTGCAGACCCTGCCTGGCTTGGTGGAATTCCTGCTCTAAAAACAGGACATGGGAAGTAACAATTGAAATGTGTTTCAATATCTGTAATGGGTATTAGAGAGTGATTATAATTATAGAGATTATAGTGTGTCCTTTTAGCCAATGAAATAGACACCCAAAATATGTGCTGTGTCTTTAGCCAATCAAAAAAATTTATGACGACATGCTGTTCAGACGAGCTGCATAGTCAATAATGATTGCAGCATCTAGGGTGACCACATAATCCATATCAAGAAGAAGACTTTGAGCTAGGACAGAATTTGTAAAGTACCATTTCAATCAAAATAACCTGGATTTCACTTAAGCACAGAGTTCTTGCTGTGTGCTGATTGGTCAGTCTCCTACAATCATGCACGTGTCACTAATGTTAATGTGGAACAGCTGGATGAGTCTTTCGGTTGAGGAAACAAACTAGTCAATACGCAAGAAGAACTGAACTATTTGGCCAAGCACAGGAGTGTTTCAGTTTTACAGCAATTTCTAAAACCTGAAGTAGCTTGCAGTGTCCTTACTAACATGGATTATGTGGTAACCCTAGGCAACCATTTGTACGAGATCAACTTCCACTTTTGTCAGTAAACAAGTATATACAGTTTGCCCATCTATTTATCTTCCAGTGACTTATCCCAAGAAGGATTTTGGGGCAAAAACAGATTATACGTTCACAGTCTGTATCATTTTGAATGTCATGTTTGATCTTGAAGTGTTTGAGTTTCCATAATAAGTATTATTTTGGTATAAAACATATTTTATGTGCATATTTTTATACGTAGATGACTCAGTTACTCAGTTTTTGTGACAAAGGAAATACCTCGATACCTTGGCAGGTACAGGAAGAAAGCAAAGGGTAGTCCGTTTTAACAGAAAAAAACTACAAATCCTATAAGCAGTGAGAGCGGAAGTCATTGCAGCGTTTCCGACGGGGTGGATATCCGGACGAAGCGCCGCGTTGAGGCCCTTTTCCGTCGCCGAGAAGTGTGGAGCGGAGCTCCTTGTGCAAGTGAGTGCCAGAAATTTGTGAAATAATGGCCGAAATTTCAGCAACAACGTAAAGTTATAAATATGAGTTGTATTGGTACATTTCATATATTGGCCTTAAAAGGAAGTTGACCTCGTTTTACTTTAAATTCCGTTTTAATGCTACGAAACGATGGTTTTACGTCGCGTGGCTTTTGAACTCGGTACCGCATGTGAGTCGCCATGTAAGTGTCGGGGTTTTATTCTCCTTTGTACAGTTGCGGCGGTGTCTAGCGTATTTAGTTTTCACAGATCGTCGTTAGTTAGCTGACATTTTAAGTAAATAACCGTATTCGAAGAAGCTACGTGCTCAGGAAGTTTGCTAGTTAATTGACAGACGAGCTAAGCTAATCCAGGCCTAAGGTGATCTTCATTTTAGGCTAACGACTCCACAAATCCTTGATTTTTTGCGTGGCAAATCCTACGATCCGGCAGGAACAAATAAATCAAATTACAGCAGAATTCTATCTAGCCCCGGTGTTGCAGTAGTCCATCCCAAGCAGCATAGATGTAGTACAACCTGGACAGACCGCCAATCCGTCGCAGCGCGCACATACATAGTCTTAAACTCTTGGTAAATCCTAAAATGCCAATCCTGTAGGTGTGAGGCTTTTTCATGTACTTTACTGAGTAAAGTGTAATAGTTTAATGAGTAAAAGAACTTCATCACCCCAAAGGCAGCTGACATCCATTTTTACAGATCGGCTCGAAGTAGTAAAGGATTGTGTTGCCAAAATGCATTTTGAAGTTATCTGAACAGCTTGACCTGTTTTTTAGATTTGTCTAGCACACTAAATCACAAAAGTTTTCATTTCTCTAAAGGTTGCTTAACATAATTAGCTATGATGTAATGTCATACACCTGGATACCCCTTAAGGTTGAGTTGGTATATAACGTCTGGTTTTGCTATGAATCCCCCCCCAGGATGACTGAGTGGGAGACTGCCCCAGCCGTTGCTGAAACCCCAGAGATCAAGCTCTTTGGGAAGTGGAGCACTGACGATGTCCAGATCAATGACATCTCCCTGCAGGTGATATGACTCAGATGTTAAATTCAGATGTAACCCTGCATTGTGGACCTTCTCAGTGGCCAGCTAAATCATAAATGACTATTTTGAATTTATCATCAGTTTAAATGCATTTTTATTCTTGGAATTCCCTACTGGTCTCCCAGGGGCTTAACCTGAACTCCTCTTGGAAAATGTGAATTTGCAGTTACTAGCAAAGTACAGTAAAAAGTGCATTTTTGTGTAACAATATTGTAAGCATTTTAAAATTGCACCATAGTTTTAATGTTAGAAGTATAAAATTTTAGTGAAATCCTAAACTAGGAGAGACATTTTAAGAGAAATTGTGTGTTGCCTTTGTTAGTGTTTGTGTGGGGAGAAATTTGACCCTTTCGAAATGAAGATTTTGAAGGCCCATAGCATATGTTAGGCTGTAGTCCATGGACAACTGCAACCACTGTATGAGCGAGACTAGAGTCACATCCTGACACCCAATTATTGTCCTGATGTGCTAGAGTCCTCGCAGAACAAATTTCTCTGCTTATTCATTGGCTGCTGCCTGACATGCTACAGCCAATCACCTGCTTAGATACAATATCATAATCAGTTGCTGATTAGCATGGGTTTTTTTTGTATTGTCTTCCACTGAATCCCCATTTCTTTCACCAGGATTACATTGCTGTGAAGGAGAAGTACGCTAAGTACCTCCCACACTCTGGGGGGCGATATGCTGCCAAGCGGTTCCGCAAGGCTCAATGCCCCATTGTTGAGCGCCTCACCAACTCCATGATGATGCATGGCCGCAACAACGGCAAGAAGCTGATGACTGTGCGCATTGTCAAGCATGCCTTTGAAATCATCCACCTCCTCACTGGAGAGGTAATTGGACCCAACATTTGTGCCTAGTCTCTGACATTGTGGGTCCCATGCACCCTGTTTCTTCTGCACTGCTGCAATAATTCACCTTCTCTCAGTTTCTCTGAACAGTTACTACTCAGCTGGTGAAGCCCTTGGCTATACTAGCATCAGTAATTGGTCTGATTAACAGAATAGTGGTTGGAATAGAACAGATCAGCGTTTTGTGTTCCCTGCTATTATTGACCTGTATGGGAACAATAATCAAACATTTATCACATCTGCATTTATATACCTTTTCCTCCTGTCAGGCTCATTTTGTCCTCTTCTGGTCCTGTGATCTCCTTTGTCGTCTAATAGGATGATTTTAAGTGCCATACCTTGAGTTCTACTACATGAGTTTAGTTGTAGATGCAGTTAGACCTGGGAGCGCCATCCATATCTTTCAGTTCGTGTCAGACTCCTGTGAAGGTTGGCTCAGTTAGTTATGGTTTTAAAGTATAATTCCATGGTATAGTCATTGTCCAGCTGTTCTAGATCAGCGGTATGCAGTTGGCTTGAATTGCCAACGGAATGAGCTGATTTATTGTAGGAGTTTAGTGCAATGATTTGAGTATCATGCCACAGATCATCCTTTGAGTTAGCGGAGAGAATTGCTGACTCTCAGGAGAATTTAGATGGTTCAGCTGAATCTTTGTCTGGTGTGTGGGTGTCCTGTGTTCAGTCTGAGCCCTGTTTCCCTGCAGAACCCACTCCAGGTGCTGGTGAATGCAATCATCAACAGTGGCCCCCGTGAGGACTCCACTCGCATCGGCCGTGCCGGCACCGTCAGGAGGCAGGCTGTGGATGTGTCGCCCCTGCGCAGGGTCAACCAGGTCTGCTTCCGCTCCGCCTTGCTGGGGGAGACTGACCGCAGCTACACTCAGACCTGAAGCACAGTTCAGCACTGTGTGGGCACCTCCATCAGCGTGCTGCATGATTCTCAATGTTCTTAGATGCAGATGAGATGTTCTTGGTGGGCGAGACTAGAGTCACATCCTGACACCTCTTCATTGTCCTGGTGTGCTAGAGTCCTCGCAGAGCAAACTTCTCTGCCTATTCATTGGCTGCAACCTCACGTGGTCCAGTCAGTCACCAGCTCAGACACAGAATCCTCACAACGTCCCATTTTTCCTTTAGAATTTGTTTCCATGGTTTCAACTTAAGTCGCCATGAGAACAATACCCATGGAGGCATTCCAAAATGGCTGCCCGCTCTCCATGGCAACAAGCCACCAGTCACTGCTGAGTGATCCATATCGTAGGAATCCTGGACTGCAGGTCTGCTGTTCTCTAACACGAGTGCACTTGTGTGTTGTAGGCAATCTGGCTGCTGTGCACAGGAGCAAGGGAAGCAGCCTTCAGGAACATTAAGACCATTGCTGAGTGCCTCGCTGATGAGCTCATCAATGCAGCCAAGGTAGGGTGGGGGGGCTGTCGATTCTGCTGACTGAAGGGCACTCGCCTGATGCTTAACTACAATCTTCTTATTCCCAGGGATCGTCCAACTCCTATGCTATCAAGAAGAAGGACGAGTTGGAGAGAGTGGCCAAATCCAACCGTTAAATACTTTGCTTTGTAATAAGTTCAAATAAAATTGACCTGTCCACAGATATGTTTTTGCGGTTTGTATTAACTGTTAGAGAAAAGGGAAGCATTTTTGTTTTGAGTTGCATAATTAAAATTGGATGACCAAAAACAAGCACCTCTGAAATAGGGTTGACCAAAACGAAAATCAGCTTTTTCAAAGTTCAGGACCATCGAGATTTGTAGTGTTTTTGTGCTGTGGTTTCATATTTCATTCCTGCTCCTGCATTCCATTTCAACTCGAATTCAGAGTTGGAAATTTCGACTAGAACACCCCCTCAAGTCAGAATTTCCACTCATGAACTCAGGAATTGACACAAACCCAAGCTGAGTCCAAGATGGCCAAGCCCTTCATCGACAGAAGTAAAAGTTGGTTTTATGCTGTTTGTTAGCACATATTGTCTCATTAAATCTGTCATGCACAATACTGTCAAACTTATTAGTGGACAAGTTTTATGTGCAAACCACCGTGTAATGTGTTAACTGATTGCTACCAGGAGCTAGAACTGGATTTCCTGCTTAGTTGGATTATTTCTGGGATTTAAGCCCATTTAAATGGAGATACCTTAAATCTGACAAGTGGTCCAGCTAAGCAAGAAATCTTGCTTTTTGAAACTGGTCTCGCCAATTGCTATATGGCTTTCTGACCTGTATTGGAACATGTTTAACTTGTGTGTGACATCATTCCGAGTTCCGACCTCCGAGGTAAATGGAACACAGTTTTACTGCTGCAAGTACTAGAATCTGTCATAGGGCATTGCTTTCTACAAAATTTACACCAGTATGTTCTAAATGTACCTTTTGTTTCTATTACTGTGATTTTCCTGGAGGACGGTGCATCTGATTGGATGTGGCTCTAATAAGGCAGAGTATATTTTCCTTCTGCACTGTCGGACGAAAAGCAATAGCATTTAGTGGAATGTTGCACATTGTGTTAAGTTTGAAGTCAGTGGTGTAACAAAGATGGCGCCTCCCTACCGTACAGAACTCCATCCATACATTTTCTGAAACTGTAGTCACAATTTGGTATCTCCAATTAACCTCAGCATGTTTTTGGACTGTGGGGGAGGACCAGAGTACCTGGACCCATGATGTCATAGGGAACTCCACACACATGGAGCCATGGTGAAAATGTACACACCGGTGCCAGAGGTGGGAAGCGACAGTACTGACCACAGTACTGCCAACCCATCACAGGGCACAAGGCAGGGAACAACCCAGGATGGGGTGCCAACCCATCACAACAGGGCACAAGGCAGGGAACAACCCAGGATGGGGTGCCAACCCATCACAGGACAGGCAGGGAACAACCCAGGATGGGGTGCCAACCCATCACAACAGGGCACAAGGCAGGGAACAACCCAGGATGGGGTGCCAACCCATCACAGGGCACAAGGCAGGGAACAACCCAGGATGGGGTGCCAACCCATCACAGGGCACAAGGCAGGGAACAACCCAGGATGGGGCGCCAACCCATCACAGGGCACAAGGCAGGGAACAACCCAGGATGGGGCGCCAACCCATCACAGGGAACAACCCAGGATGGGGTGCCAACCCATCACAGGGCACACACAGGCAATTTGGAAACTCCAATTAACCTCAGCATGTCTGGACTGTGGGGGGGGTACTGAGGTACCTGGAGGAAACCCCCCAATGACATGGGGAGAACATGCAAACTCCATACGATTGAAGCCATGGTGGGGACCCGAACCCTGGACCCAGAGGTGTGAGGCAAGAGTACTGACCACTGCACCACCATACCACCCCCTCTATAGGACTCAGTTTCCATCAAAGTTGTTTTGGGGGGGATCCTTATTCTGTGATGGCTCATTCATACATGATTTCATTTGACTCATGACACAAGAAAGTTACAGAAACAAGCCAGTTATTGCATGTCATTTATCTGAAAATGCCTACATCAAATAGGAACTGAAAACATCACTTATACAAAAAACTCACTACAAAATATAGTGTAAAAAACACTGGAGAGCATAGTGGTGTATCTCCCAGCCTCTGCTAAAGCATCTAGTATCAAACACACCGTGATCCGTAATGAGACAGGTTATGGAAACGTGAATACAAGGTGTGAAAGGAAAATAGTACGTTACCCAGCTATCTATATTTAAGCTAGTCTGTGTGCAGCTGCTGGCTTTCTGCCCGGTATCCTGTATATTTGAGTCTCACTACCATCCCGTTTGTATGCGAGTCTCCATAAGGTTGTATGAAAAGTGCTAATTTACACTAATAGTCACGAAACACTCCTATGAAACAAATCACAGCTAGAATCACAGTTCGAGGAAACAGGATGACAGTTAACGCAAACGCGGCTTCAGTTGCATTTCATCTCACTTGCACCCCCGTGTCACACATTAAAGGGAAATTAGGGTGGAGGTGACGGTACTGAACACAGGAGTGCAGTGAACAGATGAGTCAATAAGACAAAGACTGAATGTTCAGGCAGTACAGGGCTCACTGATGACACACACTGCTAATGTTAGTAGAGCACATGGATGCTGAAGGCCAGGACCCTTTGACCTCCTTAGTTTAAAGCAAAACCTCAGCTGTCGGTATCCCAGAATGCCTTTAGGCGGGGTAGGAGGGAAACACAGGAGGAGGAGAAAGAGGAGAGGCTGGCTTGCAGTTATAGCTGTGGCTTGCGGTTGATAAGCAGGCAGAAGGATGATAGTGACCCCCCCAGCTTGGAGAACTCACTGCAGGCCGTTGGAAGGAGGGTGTAGTCAGTCAGCTTCTGGAAGGCCTGGGGAGGGACAGGTGATTAATATCAACTGATAAATCACATAATAACTTAGTGCCAAAAGGGATGCAAGTTCATAAAAAAAGACCATTTTCCCCTCTCTCTGTTTCAGCTGTAGAAAAAAAAATACCTACTGGTCACACCAATATATTATTTATTTGTTGTCATTTTTTTTCACCACTATATTTATTCTGTCCGATTATGCTGCCGCTTTATTGCTTGTTTACATACACACACATTGCACATCTATAAGAAGCCCTGTGTCCGCCCCCAGGTTTATTTTCACTGTCCTGTGTGTCCTATGAAGACCCTCCCCTTGTCACTGCTGTTGTATGTCGCACCACAGTCCTGGGGGAGCCCTATTTAGTGTCACTCTATACCTGCATACGAATGGTGTGACAAAGACTAATAATAAACGCTTATAGGGATACATACACAGGCCTCCTCATTTAGAAGACGGTGAAAACAGTGCGGGAGCAGATGGGGGGGGGGGGGACTCACAGTTATGCTGTTGGGACACTCGTCGCTGGGAGGGTGCAGCAGGAAATCCACCTGGGAGGGGCCCCTGGCATAGATGCAGCTGGCGGCAGCGTCCTCGGGGACAGTCAGCACCTCGTAATGGTGATCGGTCAGCTGCTCCATCATCTGCAGCCCAACAGACTCCGTCAGCTCACGAGGATGCCGTGGGTGTGGGTAAACAGGGGGGACAGGGACTGCCAACGATTTGAGGACATTTATATTCATTTATTTATTTAGCAGAAGCTTTTATTCAAAAAAGATGTGCAAGTTAGAGAGCAGGTCAGCTGGTCCCTGGTGGAATCAGGGGGTTAAGGGCCTCGCTAAAGGGTCTAAAGGTGTAATCACTCTGTGAACCACAGGATGTGAACCAGCAACCTTCTGATCTCTAGCAGTGTCCCAACTCAATGAGCTGGCCCCATTTATAACTTAATAGATGTATATAAATATTAATGTAGTCATTAAGTGTTATAATAACACTAATTATTCATAGACTAATCCATGTATCCAATCCTCTTCATACTTAGGAACACCCTTGTATCTCTCTCTCTCTCTCTCTCTCTCTCTCTCACACACACACACACACACACACAAACCGTGAGTGTCTTCTTGGCCCCTTCACTGTTGCCGATAATTATGGTATCTGGACCTCCCATAGAGCACAGATTCTTCAGACGCCCCCCCCCGCACACTGGGACGGTGGAGACGGCAAAATCCTGCCAACGAGGAGCAAGAGCTTCAAGTGAAAATAGAAAATAATTCCTGGGGCCATCAGAAAGCAGAGGGTTCTACACAGATTAGAGTGATCAATTACTGTGAGCTACAGTGTTCCTGAGGAACAGACTCACTCTGAAGGTGTCCGCCAGGAACTCAGCTCCTCTGTGGTTGGTGTGGGAGGAGATTCCCACAAAAAACTCCTTGCCCGTGAAGAGCACGTCACTGCCCTCCAGCGTGGCCCCCTCTTCCTCCCCCATCTCCACAACAGTAAGGTTCAGCTCTGACAGAACGCGCCTCACTGCCTCAGCCTGGTGGGGGCGACGCAGAGGGGTAGGTGTCATCAACATAGACATGGGGAAACACAGCAGGTGTGTTCAGATAAAACTCCAGGAAAGGTGAAGCGTAATCACAGTCTAACCTTATCCTCAAACACCCAAACATACAGTATTAGTCTCTAAAATCTATAAAATCATTTTAATACGCCTAGTGTTGGGAATAGCAGGTCCAGAAACTACAAATCCAGGCCAAGATTTTGTTTCTACCAACCAGCTGAGCATAAGGAGTCACATTCACAGAATACTTACCCGGTTGGCAGAAACAAAATCTTGGTCTGGATTTCTAGCTTCTGGACCTGAAATACCCAACACTAAATATGACCACATACTTGACTAAAAAACTTGTTACTAAGTTGTCATAGCAACTAAAATGTGAATTAATGCTTTATTTTCCATTTGTGTAAATACAGCTACATAGAAATGCTTCTTGCCACATATCCCATCCTTTTAAGACACACACACATACAGACACACAGTTATCAGCAAAGCCGGGGTCCAAACTCCGGGTGAGATTTGTACGGCTCCCCTGTAGCATTTCTGGGTAACTACTCCAAATCTCACGTGAACAAGTGATGGAAACCTGATGAACCCCCACGAGATGGAACCACAGCTGCTCTTCACTGATTCTTACTGAAACGAAGCCCAACTTCACCTCACTGCAGCGCTGCTGCTTCCAGGGCCGGGCGATGAGGGCCGTGTCGCCCTGGATCACAGCCATGTCCTCCATGCGCCAGCTCTCAGGCAGCTGCGAATCCGGCGGGATCTCGATCAGCTGGAGCCCCACCTTCTGCCTCAGCGCCCCCATCAGGACCCCAAACTGCCGCTGGGCCTTGGCCAGGTCCGTCTGAACATTTCCGGTGTCACCCCCCTCTGCCGTCTGCCCAAAGGACTCGGGGACGCCGCGGACCACCGCGTGTGTGAAACAGCCGTATGGACGGACACCCGCCATGATGCAAACTCCAGCTGTTCCTGAAGTGTGTGTGGTGCTCCTCTCACAGGTGAAACCTTTATCTTAAATATGGCTGGTCCAAGGATGCCTGTGCTCAACCTTAAAATGTTTGCTTTTTGTAGCAGCTGGACGCTAAACTGGACCTTTAACAGGAAAAATCCAGAGAAGTTTTGTCTAGGAGAAAAAAAAAAGTCATTCTTTTTAGCAGTTTGATTATACATGTCCCTCCTGCATGAGTGTATTTTAAAAAGTATTAGTTCACGAAATATCCCTGGAGGGCAGAGATTAAACAGAATCACAATTACAGAAATTATATACACCTTGAATTGTATTAACTGCACCGACACTCTGCTGCAGCGGTGGAATACACCCTGATGATGTACAACAGCAAAAACCACACAGACCACATTTAAGCTGCAGAAACCACCGCTAATTGCAACCATGCAGCGACCACAAGATCACCAAACAGAAATCCCAAACATGCGATTCCCGTCCCTCAAACACTCAAAAAGCAAAACGAATGATCTTTACACGTAAAACGGAACAGAAAAAGTGAATCTTTGTACATATTTAAGGCAAAAAAAAAAACCACGTTACTTCTGCCGTTTAAACCATAACAAAACCATAAATAGTTGACTTGTACGTGAGAGTATATGGGGATTTGGGAGAGATGATAGTATAGGCTACTTATAACATATGACAGCTCACTCTCCCCCATGGATTAACCGGTCACTCATACTCACCGGGACAGAAAACAGCGTCGCTATTATAATATTATATATTCGCAGTTCGGACCTTCGCCCCTGCTGCAGTAATGAAAGTAATTTTACTGCTAATAGTGGCACGATCGTCGTACTACCACCCAGAAATTTGCAGGTTGGGCCTTCACTCGCAGAAGGATTTCCTATAATTGCCAAACTGTGTCATAACCGGGCTAAAGAGTTCATGCTCCGAAAAATACAATTAAAAAATCAAAACATAACTGAACCAACTTCACCGTACTTTGCAAGAAAAAAAAAACTTTTCGTACAGCAGTTTACTCGTGCCGGATTGTTTCAATCTGATGCTTAAGTAGGCTGTATGAAAAGCACATAGGCTACTCTGAAGAATGAATTCATCCATCACATACGGCCCGCCATCTGCAGCGGACAATAAGACGGAAGACTTGCAAAAATGTAAGCAGGCGGCAGCGTTAACGGGAACTGATGGTGCGTCTGACTTGCTATTTCACGTTAGACTTGCCGATTGCCCCTAATTAGTAAAAGAATTGTTCGAAATCTTTTATTAAATCTTTTAATCTATTAGCTGTATTTTCAAAGGGTGTATTATGTTGTATCTTGTAGCTGAGGACGTGTAGTATATCAACTCAACGTCATTGTTAGTTTCGTAGTAATTGTCTGTTACATTTATACAAACAGGGGCGCTTTAAACTTTAAACTCCTCACGCGTTCGGGAAATTATAAACAGACTATTGCATGAGTATGCATTTATTTGTTTAAAGGCATATCTAGTACGATTAAAGCACTGATTTCCAAGACAGACTCACTATCTATTAATGGAGTACAGAGCAATTTTGTTGCCAAAGTTGACGCCCAACAACGAAACCTAATTCTCTCCGACATTATAGGAGTTAGATACCTTGTGGTTCCGGCCGAATAAGATCACTCCTTCTTCGTTTGTCCTCTTTTTATGCGTCAGCGTTATAGAAAAATATAAATCTTGCGTCTTGCCTTGTGCGTTAGCGCCTGACACCGCACACCCACTAGCCGTTATATCCCCTCACTCCCAGCCTTTTCCTCCTGATTCACCCGGCACGCTCTCATCCCCTTCCCTCCCTTCCCCATCCCCCACTATACAACGATTTTTAATCCCCAGAAATATCACAGCGTTATTGCTATAAGCAATACTAAAAATGACTCTACTTACCTAGAAAATACAGCCCGAGACTAAATTCAGTGTCAGTAGAGTTCATATAGCCTAGCTAACAAACTTATAGATTGCAATGTATTTTCAAGCGTGGTTCTTACTGTAAGTCTTTTATTTAAATTCACTTTCAAAACAATGCATTTCCCGTCCGATGGCCGTACAAAATGGAAGAAACAGGCACTTGTTCTCGTGTAAACTGCAAAATATTAGAGGTACTATCTTTTTTTGTCTTCATCCATTGTTTCCAATATTACCACACCCCCGACTCGCTGCAAGTTCGCCTGCTCTTTGTACCCGCCCCTCGATGTATAAACTTGGTCCTTTGCTTAGTTTATACGGAGTAACAGTACCCTTTTCCGTTTCGTACCACGGAAAATATCAGTCGTGTCTTTACAATGTTTTCTTTAATCAAATAAAATGAGAGAAAGGTTTCTCATTAAACTAAAAGGCTATATTGCCTTTACGAAATGTGGGTCGTGATACATTTAGCTGTCCACGCAGTTTATTCTTGTGATAAGACGTGTGCTCCATTTAATTTTCTCTAAACTTGCGCGATTCTATCGTATATATTGTTTGTGATGTTTTGTATTGTCTGAGACAACAACGACTTAGTAAAAGTTTATTTCATTGCTGTTTGGCTAATTCATTGCTTTATTTCTGTGATGTAACACACTGTTTAACGTAAAATTACTCAAGTAAACCCCTCCTTTGATTATTATTTTATTTTTATGACGCAAATATTGGTTTGCTATTGCATAAACAAGTGCGCCAGATGGCGTAGTTAGAGCCATAATACTGCTATCTAGCGGACATAATTAGTTATTGCAAGTTACAATACTCAGCAGAAGGAAAATTACAACTATACGCTTACAATGGGCAGAAACTAAAAACGTGTAAGTGTAAGTAAGAGACAGAGAACAAGAAAAAGTGACACAGCCGACGGGAAAGTGTGGAAAAGACCGCATTACAATGAAACATCTGTTGTCCTCTCTTGACAAAGTAACACATAGTAACTTTTAAACCAAGACACTGAAAACGCATTATACGATTATCGCAAAATGCACCTTAAAATTAGCAGTATTTTTCTGATACTACGCACACTGATGAATAGCCCATTACTTAATTTCTTTCTTTCCTCACATTTCAATTTCTTCGACTTGTACACTGTTTTTTTTTTTTTTTTAATTTTGTGGCTATTTATTACAGAGCAGCTGCAAGACCTCCTTCTGTCTCCCGCTCTCCTCTCTGCGATGTGTAATAACATTGCTATTGAAGCCTTCCTTTCACGGGGGGAGAACTGGCCCTTATCAATATGGCGTCTTCCCAGTCCACGACCTCATTGGTCTCTCCTGCACTTGTACTTCCTGTTTCCTGTTAGCCGGCGGGGGACTGCATTGGCATGTCAGCCAAGGAGCGTGGGGGCAAGTGTCGGAAGCAGGAGGCTATGAAGTAGGGTTGCCACCCTTCCCTTATGACACGGGACGATCATGCTGCACCCCATATTATATGGGACGAGGGTGACAAACCTTCTGGGGAGGTAGGAGAAGGGGGCGTGTGTCACGCTGATGACGTAGTCGCGCAGGTCAGTGCTGCAGCTTGTCAGGATAACGCTGTCAATCGTTTCGTCTTAGAAGTTCACCCTGGTTCCAGTACAGCTTTCTTCATATATCGTCATTGTCCCTGATTCTGCATGCAACACACCACACAGCAGAGAAATACACTTAATCAGAATTGCACCTTATAGCTGTATAAATGGGCTAACAGAAAGTATCTCTGCGATAAAGTAACAACTAACTTTTGCACAGTTCTGTGTCTTCGATGAAAGGTGCCCCCCTCGCTCTGTATACAGTTCGCCCGCGCAGCCGGCCTCGGGTCATCTGACCTCAGGTCAAAAGACTCTCTTTGTGCCCCCTTGTTTGCATTTAACAGTATAAGTCGAGCATCCTTTGGTTTTTGTACAGTCCTCTAATTCTGTTAGGCAGTCAATTAGTGAATTGGTCTCATTGTAAGAGTAACATCTGAGAGGGTCTGATGAAGAAATTGTGTACAGAGAGGCGCATGTCAACCCTTGACATACAGAGATGTTGATTAAGACATATGTCAGGCATTTTAGTTCAACATGTATATATGATTTAATTTAAACAGTCCTGCACCGAAAGCGGACGTGGTTGCGCAGAGTATTGAGTGTAGCCAAAAATTATTTGTACAGTGTGAAAAAATCGTCAACAATGGAAATGAGATTGAGGATACTGAAGAACAAACTTTAAACACCGTCTAAAATGTTACATTGATGTGTGTTATGTAAAGGAACAAGAAAAAACTTTTATTGAAAATATATTCTGGAATTGTTTTCAAATGGATGTAGTTTATTGCCTTAATTATTTGTACACCTGGCCATTCATAGAGTTGAACGAATATGCAGTTGCCTGTCATTATAGAGATTATATAACACAACACATAACAGCAGGTGTTCCAGATAGGCAGGTAATTGGGCGCCCTTAGTTTCTACAAGTAGCCTTAATTGGTGGTCATTCTCCACACAAGCATTTGTAGGGTTCCTGCAGTTTCCCAACATGGCTAAAACTGCTGAAATATCCAATGCATTGAGTAAAAGACTAATAAAATTTCATAATCAATATCCTCAATTTCATTTACATTTGTTTGTAGAAATATACATGCATGATATATCCGTAACCAATATAGTTTAGTCTAATATCGCCGGTGCCAGCAGTGAAACAACTAGACACTTATTAGCGGGATAACTTAATTTACATTGTAAATTAGAACCATGTCGCAAGTCTAATAAAATATTGTGGCGCTCGAGTGGCGACGGGTTCAGAAGGCAGACATCAAAGTTATTAGCAGACTTTTATTGCGCGATATTTAAAAGGACAGCGGCAACACAACGAACGAGAATAAAGGATAAACTCACGTGCACACAGACTGGGAGCCTTTAAGGAGACAAAATGGATAAAGGCAGTAGAGACAGGGCGCAACGAGTCAAACTCTGCAGCTTATAAAAACGTAAAATCCGAAAAAGGTAAAAATAAATCCAACAAAATGGAATACATATGAACCTTTATTTTACTCTCACTTCCGCCTACGTTCATTTTTGAAACAGGTGGAAACGCTGGCAGGTTTTCAAAATGCACCGAGCAAGAACCAGTCCAGCCCAGTCTCCAAATGAGGCACATATACCGGCTTTTAGATACACCTGTAAAGCGGACTGATACAGCTGATGTGAAATGTCCGAGTGCGCTTATACTCTGATAACCGCACTCATACGGCGCCTTAAGTCCAATCAGATTTCTTGGTCGGAACTAACTATTGTATAATATAAAATGAATAATCTAATTTTATACTCACTCTTATTACTGTCTGATTCTCAGTGTGAAGCTATCTGTCCGATAAACAAACAACAAACAAATTTATTTTTGTATAGCGCATCACAACATTACATCGTCTCAAAGCGCTTTACAGCGTCCCCACCCAAAGCCCCCAGTGAGTAAGCCATAGGCGACAGTGGCAAGGAAAAACTCCCGAGAAGGAAGAAACCTTGGGAGGGACCAGACTCAAAGGGGGAGCCCATCCTCCAGGGGCCGGCAGGGAGAGTCAAATTGGAGAGCTGGCTAAGTGCCAAGTCATACTGTCAAATTTGAGATACAAATGGGGAGCAGGGGGGAGATGACAGCTGGTGCCGACGTTCCCTCCAATCGCCAGGCAACCAGAGGGCAGGCAGCAGGTCATACATGGAAGATGACACAGGCAGAACACAGTGTGAGCACAAAGCAATCAGAAGCACTTCACCCTCTCACGGTCCCTCTCGGATGTTAACTGTGTACATACCCACAGGTGGGACATGACCCAGGAGGAGCAGGAGCATAAGCAGGTGAGACATTTCTCCCTCGGTTAGTGTAGCCTGTAGCGCCGATTGCTCTGTGGTCCAGTTGAGTCTGTTCAGTCAGATCACTGCTGCTTCTTTCTCGGCGTCTTGATAGCTGCCGACTGTGTGCCAGACTTTGCCAAAAACTGGGTTTTTAAAGCTGCGGTTTCTTACTACTGGTAGCTTCTGCTTCCCTTTCTTTGTGCATAAAACTATTAAGTTACAAGTTTCCATAGTGTAAGATGCATTTTAGCAAATAAGCATTTCTAAATGGCCCAGAGTGTATGACTGCATGTGTGCACACCCTAGGACAGACTGGCATTACATCCAGGGTGTCCCCTGCCCCCCCTCCCTTGTGCCCTGGATTTCCAATGATCAACTTTAGCCCCCTGATGACTCTGTACTGGATAAAAAGTTGCAAGATGATGGTTTTCTATGAAATATACAGTGTGACAGATTTGCATGTCAGAAACTTTGTATGTTAGAGATTTTCTCAGTTGTTTCTCAGGTATCAGTACACAATAAAACTGATACCATAAAAACAATTATAAAAGCAACAAGTGAAGTGATAAAATGAGACATTTCAAAACAGTAAGCAATGGCATTGTTTACACACAAACTGCAATATCTCATAACATCTTACAATTTTTTAATAAAATGTATTACATTAGTTAGGGACACTGTGTTCAAGCTAGAAGCTGCCAGTAAAACAGTAAGGCCTCCTTACACACCTGAGAAGCTCAGGTGTAACACTAGTGAACTTAATGATTCAATCAGTGGGTAAATTGTTAAACACAAATATAAAGCCCTACAGGTGAACCCCTCTTATTGGCAAAAATGACAGAGAACATTGATGCAAATGGCAAAGGAAGAGTGGCATGCAGATTGAGAGGAGGAGGCAGAATTTATCCAACCACATTCAGATACAGTGTTTCCTGATCCGGTCCTAGGGGACCCACAGTCGCGGCACGTTTTTGCTCCAAGATCCCTGCCAGACAATACAGGTGGACTGTTCAGGTTCCCCAAGGACCAGATTGGGGACACTGCTTTAGCGGGTCATGTCGTACACCACGGTATGTCCCTGCGGGAAGCAGGACAGGGAGTCCAACTAAAGAACAGTTATTTCACTGCACTAATGTGGGGAAATGCAATTCCTCCTGCTTCGGTGATTTGTGCTTGTGGAAATATGCAATGTGATACAATTAAAATAACTGTAACACTTTACTTAACAGGGCACAAATAATACAGTATTATACTATTACTTATGTATTAATTACCCACAAACACTTCCTTCTGCAGAAGGAATGACTGAAGGAACAAGAAATGGATACACAAGTTAAATGCTGATCTCATGTTTGTTCATTAGTAATAAATCATGAAGCATCTTTCATCCCAAGTAGATATTGTATTTGTTACTATATTTGTTAATTCTGTAAATCTTTGTGAACTACTGAAGGAATGATTGAAGGAACTAGTAATGAATATTACAGGTGAAATACTGATCTCATGTTTGTTCATCATGAATGAATTAATGACATCTTTTATCTGAAGTAGCAACTATATTTGTTCATGATTTGGTCATAGTTTGTTCTTCAGTAGTAACTGAGTTATTCCTAAGTATTTGTGCCCCATCAAGTGTTACCAAAAATAACAAAATTGTATAAAAAGATGATAATATATAAGGTTGCCTCTCTCATTAAAACATAAAAAAATATGCAAGTGAAATATTTCCTACTGTAGAAACAAACTGTAACTACATTGGTGTCCAACGGTTTTCACTGGTTTACTGGGTTTCTGGTTTGACACCTTGCAATTTGCACGTCAAATAACAGTTTGACATTGGTGGAACATTTCTTGACGTCTTTTACCTTGTTTATCCACAGTATCTCCTCTTTTAAAAGATGTGGTGGCTGCTGATCTGTCCCTTTCTTCACGGCCGCTTCAGTGCTCATCACTCCCATGATTTACCGAAACAATAGCATGCAGTGCTCCGCTAATCAAACTTAATAAAGATAATGTGATGATGCAGCGATGATTGTGCCATATAACTGCGATTACCTCATACGTTGCAATGTGATGTTGTACAGCGATGCCCTGAGGGTGATCCGGCTTGCAGGATCGTCATTCCTGTGCAAAATACACATTTCTTGGTAAACTCCAGCCTGGCTCTTCCCTGTGCCTCATTAATGAAGGGCTTCTTCCTTGCTTTATGGGTCTTCAGTCCTGCTGGTTTTTGGTCATTGCCAGTGTCTGCTTCACCTTTTTCCGCCATTTGTTGTTTGTCTGATGTGATGGGTGGGATGATCTCTGGCCTGCCAAGGGCATATTGCTGCTGATTGTTTACATGCAGGTAATTACAGCAGTAATTGCTCACGTCAGTCACTGGGATGCTGGTGCCCATCGCCCAGAGCTGTCTGTATCTCCACTGCAGTGCCAGGTGAATGTTTATAGCCCTGGTGAGTTCACTGCCCCTGCCTACTGCTATCTGGGGTAAAATTTAAGGGTAAAAATAAAATACTGTCTACTGAGACCTGACCATTGCCTCCCTTTTGTTGTTGTCTCTTCACCGTAATAAATGTGGTTTAAGGAGCGTTTATGTTTTTCTTCAGGAATTTAAGCAAAAATGTTGGTGCCATATGCATGTGTGTGGTAGGGATGTGTAGAGCGATACTGAGATATCGATTCCTTCGTTGCAAATGGTCCATATTGAGAACTGATTCTAACCTTAAAATATCTCTTGTTTTTCCCCACCTGCTAATATGAGGTGGGAGCTGGACCTGAAGTAGGCACCTCCAGTCAGTGCTGCCCAAAATGGGAGAAATGGAAAGAACGTTCAGGGGCCCACAAAGGAGAATCTAGGGAAATGGAACAATCGATCCACCACATAACATCTCTCCACCCACTTTTAGGCGAGCACCAAATATCGGCATTGGGATCGGTGATACCAGCCTTGGTATTGGATCTTAATTGGATTGATAAAACAGTGATATAGCCCACCCACAGTGTGTGTTTGGATGTGGTGTGTGTGTGGGGAGGGGGGGGGTGACTGTTAGGGTTTTGCTATGACCAACCATGAGGTACTTTGCTTCTTTATTTGGTTATTTGGTAATGTTAGCTGTGATGGCCTTTGGTTGTGCTCTGTGATTGAAAATTACATTGTGGGCAAGTGAGAATTTATCTGGGCTATAGTACATTTTGTTTTACTGAACGAACCAAGTTGGCTAGTTGAAAAAATTCCACCCCACATGCAAGGATTGCTCAGCATATATACAGTGGTAGAAAAAATTAAGAGACTTCAGCACAATTGTTTGTTTCACTCATTTCCCAATTTATGGGTTTGCGTCTGTGAATAGTGTGTGTTTTTTTGCAAACTGCAGCCTGGTTCTTCCCTGTTTCTCTTTAACAAAGGGCTTTTTCCATGCTTGGTGGGACTTAAGTCCTGCTTCTAGGAGCCTTATATGAACTGTCCTAGCAGTGCACTTCACAGCTGCACTTGATGTCATCCTCCGATTCATGAGAAACTGTCAGATAAGTTAATGGTCATCTCTGGCATTAGAAAGTCGCTTCCACCCTTTATTGGGCTGGTTTCTTGTCGTTCCCAGTGTCTCCTGCTTCACCTTATTCTTGTGTCCTGCTGTATTAGAAATTTTGAACCTGGAAGCAACCTGCTGCTCAGTGTAGCCTTCTGCCAGCAGAACCAGGATTAAACCAGGATTTAAAACGCGGATTTGTATAGAGTGGTCTCTTAAATTTTTCCACAGGTGTATATAAATGCAAGTCTGCCAAATGGAGTGTTTCAGTCTTATTCATTTAAGTGATAGCATACTGCCAGTCAGTGGGCATAATGAAGTATTACAAGTTAACCATAGTTAAACATACTCGAGTGGAAAACAAAAACGGCACATATGCAGAGGATGCAGAAGTTAGGAGACGTCAAAGTGGATGCAAGAGAGTTCTAGCTTTGGCTCGGGCTGTCGCCAAAAAACAAACATTATCCACTGGAAAAATCTCTTAAATGATTTTTTTCACTTTGGAAAGTCTGTCCACATCCACTATCACCACATCACCTAGCAGAATCCACTCTTGGTCCTTCCTCCCTTCCCTTTTCTGACTACTGCACTCACATCATCACAAATTCTGTATCTGTTCATATCTGAACATGTGTTGTACCCTGTTATGTCTGCACGTGAGTATGTGTTCGTGGAGGAAGGAAAAGAGGGGAAAAACATATAATTAACAAGGAGGAAAAGGTACTATTACTGTAAATGTTATTATTTTTTGGAGCAGGTGGGAGCAGCAGTAGTCCTTAATTATAATACTTTATCGCATAACACATAGAAATGTGTGTATGCAATGCATATATATTTATATAGGGTAGAACTCAAATCCATGATTTCAGTATTGCCACTCCAGTCGTATCACCGGTATAGTTCATTTTATCATTTTAATTTGTTTTCCACAGCCCCATTCTCTTTTTTTTCTTCTTCCTTTTATTATTACCATCGCTGTTTGTTTGTTTGGTCAAACACCTCATTGCTATATTTACCTATTTTCATTTTTTCCCTCTCATCTCCCACAACCATCATATATATGTAACCAATCCAGTCCTCACTGTAGTGTTAACTTCACCAGCCCCCCAATCCCACCACTTCCACAGATCCTAGTTTGTTCCGCTGCCTTCCCTCCCTTTTGCCCTGTACCCCTGAGGGAGCTGGTCTGGGGCGGTGGCTCTCCAGTGGCCACTTTCCCACCTACTGATCTCTCCCACTCTGGGCTGGACCAACCTGCATGATCTGGTTCTTTTAATGCATCATACCAGATCAGCACTTTCTCTGACACTGATATAGATTTTAAAACATAGACAAACAAACTCCATCCTAAAATAAGGGTAGCATGACGTGTGGGGTGTAGTCTGCCTGGGACAGGGTCTGCCTGAGGGGTAGTCTGCCTGGGACGGGGTCTGCCTGGGACGGGGTCTGCCTGAGGTGTAGTCTGCCTGGGACGGGGTCTGCCTGAGGGGTAGTCTGCCTGGGACGGGGTCTGCCTGAGGGGTAGTCTGCCTGAGGTGTAGTCTGCCTGGGACGGGGGCTGCCTGAGGTGTAGTCTGCCTGGGACGGGGGCTGCCTGAGGGGTAGTCTGCCTGGGACGGGGTCTGCCTGAGGGGGAGTCTGCCTGGGACGGGGTCTGCCTGAGGT